GGGGGGGGGGGGGGGGCTCATAAAATCGCTGCCTTTATAAGATCTTTAATATCTCATGAAACCAGCAAATGAGAAGTTCTTATGAATCAGAGGGAAAGTATTTGTAAGCCTGCAACAATATTTCACTGGTTGTTGTTTGTGCACATTATCTGGAAAAGTAACAATTTTTATTTTACTGTGCTACTTCCCCTTCATCATTTGAGCGGGGGAAATATCGTTTATGGGAGGAGAGTTTCCAGTATTTACAATGGAGCTTCTTTTAATCTGGGGTGTGTGAATGCGCTGGGAGGTGAGCTACCCTCTGCAATTTGTCTGAATACATTTAATGGCATACCATGAGCTTGTCTTTTTCAAATTAATATATGGTGACAGGGTTTGAATGACACACATTGGGCAAACATTTATCCAGTCTTTATCTGACGTAAAATTAGTTCCTAATTTCGTTAAGAACTTTATGTCTTCCTATTCTCCTCCATTTGAGCCAAGTTGAGCGAACAGGGAAGATTTCCCAACGTGTATGTGCTTTATCTGCTGACTTCACAGCTGACTTTCCTGACACATGCAGACTTTGGTATATATTTGCATGCGAAAAAGCCCAATGCTGTGCATTTTAGGGGAAGATAGGCAAGTCAGTAAGACTCGCAGTGCCAAATTCAGCTTTCACTCACAAACCTAATGGGCCAAATTCACAGCAGGGAGAGTTGCACTGAAGTCAGTGGAGCTGAACCAATTTTGGCCAGCTGTGAACTTGGCCCATATGGTTCATTGAAGGAATAGATCCAGGGAAGCTGCATATGAGTAACTAAGGACAGAATTTAGCTGACTGTATGTAATAGGTGTTTATAGCTGGTTTTTTTCTTAGTCATTTTATTATTCAAGGGAGCGGCGAGAAAAACATGCTCATCAATACAGCCAGTTAGAGTCTCTGTGAGCAACTGCATCCTGCCGCTGTCCAAGTCCTGGTCTGAATTCAAGTGCTGGCTGGAGTACTGCATTGTCTGTATCTACAAGGTATCTAGACACATCATAGGCTAATGCATAACTTCCTGTGTTATAAAATTGTGCCTAGCAGATGAAGTGCCTTATGTCCTCACTCTGTACAAAAGCTGTTACAGGGAACTGGATAGAGGGGCATATATGAAGGCTTTCCTGGCATGTCAAATCCACACGGTTAGCTGTGAACCAAAATTGTTGCTGTTTGGATGTAAGAGTAAATTTAGTGGCAAGTGTCCATCCCATGGGAACTCAGCTGATATCTTTGTTTGATGCCTCTGAGAGACCAAAGGTTGGAAGAACATGGGGGCTGAGCTCGTCTTCTTATCCTTTGAAGGGGGCTTTTCCTGTCAGATTGCAGGCACGTTGGTGTGGCAGAATTGAGAGGCTTTCATTGCCACTGCCACGACTATTCTGTTGTTCTCTCTCTAGTGCTCTCAGTCTGGCCCTGATGTGAGCAGTAAATTCATTCCAAAAAATAAAAAGGTGTGCTGTAATTTCCTTTATTCAGTATATTTATTGACAGATTTATTGCTTGAAGAAATGAATCGTATCAGGCTCAGACTTGGATGGTTGTTAGCTGTTCTTCCACTGGTGTGGTCAAATCCATCCACGTACTAGCTGGTGTATCTGGAAGCACATGGTGAAATCACCCATGCAGGACTCTCCTGGCCTCTTGGCTTCCCGTTCTCTTAGCCCCACGTGGCACTTGATCCGAACATTCAGTACTTAGCTTGAACTTGCGGTTTCAAATTTGTGATTGTCGTCATCTTGGCTGACATATCAGGCATTGATGAAAAAAGTCCAGAGCGGCGAACACAAGTCTCTACAACTAAAATTCCAGGCTGTGTTTCTGTAGTTGAACAGATTGGTGTCTTTTTCTGGTTCAGGCATGGAGAAGACATGCAACACTCCTGGCTGCTCGCTTACACTCTGCCATCATACCTCCCAGAATATGCCGTGCCCTAAGAAGTGCCAAATATTGCCACTCGCAGGATGTAATGCCCCATCAGAAATGCTGCAAGACTTGCTAGGCC